TTTTTTGTTTGGTTGATATTTCGGGGTTTTTTAATGCAATGCTCAGACCTGACTGAACAAAGCAGTCAAGCTACAGTATATTAGCAGATCCCTAAACCCTCAGTCTTGGCCATACATTAAAACAGAGGTAGCTCAATTTGAGGGTGGGGCGGGGAAGAGTGTGAACAGTGAGGAAACAGGTATACATGGCTAAGAACAGGGAAGTGGAATGGGGGGAGGTGGGAATTTCCCCTTTGGACATCAGCCAGTTAGATAAGTTTAGTTCATTTTTTTAAGCTGGATTTCCACAGAAAAGTGTGTGGTTTCTCCTGCTTACTGAGTTGAGCTGGTGTACGATGGTGTCAGACAAGCACAAACCTGGAGAAAGCTGAAAGAGAGCAGGGTGTCTATTTGGTATAGTAACCTGATGGACTGACTCGGTTGCATCCTGTGTTATAATGTCACTTTCTTGCAGATTACATCTGTTTAGTGAGTCCACAAGTCATCTTCCTGTTTCTGAGTTCCCCTTAATGTAATCTAATACACGTTTCTCATGTAGTTAATTTCGGTAAACTTAATTTTATTATTTGCAGATAATTTTTTGAAACTTTTCTCTGCTTCTGAATAGGTGCTGCAAAGTTGGTAGTGGTCGTAGCAATATTTTTACTGACATTTTATGTCATATCTCAAGTGTTTGAAATAAAAATGGATGCAAACTTAGGACACATATTTGGTAAGTGATTACTTTGTTTTCTCCAGACATATATTAATATTTACTTGAGTCATAATCAAGAATTGCATATTAATTTTGCTTTAAACTTGACTTTGGCTCTTACATTTAAGAATTATGTGTTTATTTTTAATATGTGTATGTATTTATATATATTATACCTATATAATATATAATGTTTGTATTAAGTTTTTTTCTGTATAAAGTATTTAACCTACTCTCTTAATCAGTTTGATTCTTTTTTCTGACAAGTGTGCATGATTTTACCTGCTTTTTTGGTTTGCTGATACTTTCAGTCTTAGTCTGGAGTTGTAAACTAAGCAACTTGAATGATGTTTTTGGAAATCTGCATTCTGCCTTTCTGCTGCTTAGGCAACTCAAAATCTATGTTTTGGGTGGGCTTTTTTGCTTGCACAGGTATACTACCGTGTACAATTGGACATGTAGTAATCAAAACATTTCAGATGTGCCCAGGTCCTACACAGAAAAGGATTAGCAGCTGAGATGACTTAAAATTCAGAGTCTATGTTTTGAACCAACTTTATCTTTAAAGGGGCTTTCCATTACAAAAAAAAAAAAAAAAAACAAAAAAACAACAATTTTAGGTACGTGGGTATAGTTCATGTTATTTAACTCCAAATTACTACAGTGTGAGCCGGCATCTGAACCATTCACCAGAGGCAGCTTTAATAATTGTTGAAGAGACATAGGTGTCATTAAGTATTACAGATGTATTGTAGTTAACGTGCATGATGAGGTCACTTGTGTCTCTTCCTGTCACAGGAAAGGGAGTCATGAATGTTTGGGCTCAAAGACATCTGACTTGCAGGCTTTCAGTGTTAAGTGAAAGGAGGCCCATCTTGGTGAAGCTGTAAGAAGGGAATTAATTTCACTTTAGTGCCCACACCTCCACAAATCCCAGATGATTTTGTATCTCCATGGATCTTTATGTTAATCAGAGAGTCATAAATTAAGGTGGTGCTCCTAAAGTGGTTCCTGATCACTTTAATTCTTCTGCCATGTAAGGGATAATGTTTTATATTGGAACGTAATGTTCAGATTTATTTGATACTTCATTTCAACCACCCTGTTTTTATAGGGGTACAGAAAGGTTTGAAATTTATAGGATATTTTGTAGCAGATGACACTTTAATAGTAGCATCTTGTAAAACTTGCTTTTTATGACACTGTAATAGTAACATCTTGTAAAACTTTCTTTTTGCATTTCAGCTAGATCAGCGCTGGATGCAGCTGCACGCTGTGAGTGTTCATATGCATGTGTTACTGCTGTGACTTGCTTTCGCTAATAACAGGAAGGCTGTTGAATTTCCATAGTTAAGAAAGTCTTAATTAGGCTTTAAATGCAATCAGAAACTAATTTTCCTCTTTTCCTGATTTTCCTAAATTTATGGTAAATTCTGGTTTTTGCCAGCATTTCACTTGTAGTTTTGTCTTGTGGCTTTTGATGACAGTGCCAGAGCAAGCAGCAGGGTGAGAACAAGAAGTAGAATAATGAGGTACTGCGGGAGCCTAGATTATTTTAAACTGCTGTGAAACTGCAGATGAGATACCGTTTGTCTTTCCCTTTTCCTTGAATTCCTTCAGACAACTAACTGATATTTCTCTGTAAGTCTACCTGTGGTGTTGTCTCTAAAATTCTGTTTTACTTCCTTTTGAAAGCTACAAAACCTCCAAGATACAAATGTGGGATCTCTAAAGCTTGCCCTGAAAAGCATTTTGCATTCAAAATGGCAAGTGGAGCAGCGAATGTAGTTGGACCTAAAATTTGTGTAGAAGATAACATGTAAGTATTTTCGCCTGTTGTCTATGTCTTTTGAAATGCTGTCTTGGATCACTTTTGCACACAAAAAAAAGTAGTTTAATTGATTCTCCCTAGGTTTTGTTTTGCCAACAGTTTGACCAAATGAAAAAAATTGCATTGCATTGTAACTTAGTCTCTGATGAAGCACATTTAATACTTGGCAGTAAATGCAGAAGTGTATGCTATTTTAATATATGCAAGGTAGCTTACACTTTATTTCAGGTGTACAGACTTAGGATTAGTTAGACTTTGTCAAGTCAGATGCAGACTTGCCTCTAACTTGTTCTTGTGCCTCTAATAATATTAATTCAGTGAACAATCGTATTTTTAAGTAATTACTCTTGATACTTCTAACTGAATGTCATCAAATAAAACTGTGCTGTGGAACTGTCTTTTGCAAGTCATCTTTTAAGCTATTTCCATAGTACCAATGTCAGAACATATTTCCCACTTTTCTTCAATGGATGACTTCAAAAGGGAAAAATAGTATTTTCATGATCTGTGGTTATTTAATTGTGCTGATGGTAACTAAAGTTAATAAAATAATTGTGAAATTAGGTAAGGAACTGCTTGAAACACAGTTTGGTTTTGAGTTTAAGTCCCATATTTCTAATAACTATATTTTTAACACTGTATTGTCAATAATACTGTAACTACAGTATTTAACTGAACACCTTTCGGTAATCTCTGTGATGGGAATATTAATATTTATCTTTAGACTCTGTTTCTTTGCTCTTAGGTTGTTCCTGCTCATTGTAAGCCAGAGTGTACAGCTTCATATAACTTCATATAATCTATCCACTCAGTTTTGCATGTCATGTGTCAGAAAAGACATAACTGTCAGGAGATTTTTCTTAAATATCAGTCACACTTAGAAGCCTTTGCCTTCCATTTGCTTTTAAAGTACTCCAGTTTAGCATTTCTCAGCCCTAGCTATGGTAGTACAGAGTGCTTCAGATAGCACATACAGAAGTTAGTGGTAGTGAATTCTAGAACAAATGACAACTACTTCACTGTGAACATAACCTCATGTAATCTAGCAAGTAGGACAATTAATCTGTAAGAGAATAAAAGGTATTGGTTTACATTTTCCATCCACTTTAATCTTAGAGTTACTTTGGAGAGAAGTCTTATATGATGTTAAAGAGAAGACTATATGTTTAGCACTAACTCTAACAATTTAGATGTGGTGAAGTTGAAATGGGAGCTTTTTTCCCTGACAACCAAACATGTACAGCTTAGTCACTTCATGTTATTAGTAGAAACATGAGCATCATTCAAATTTCAAGCTGTTCTTCTGTAAGGCTGACTTAGCTCAAGCTTGCTCACTTGTGTAGGAGTGCGTTTTCGGCAGAGCGTCACGGTGTAGTTGGGAAGAACATGCGAAGTGAGCATGAGCTGACCGTTGGCACGTGTAAACTGAAAGCTGCTAGGTTTTGCTTTCCATTCTTATCACTGATTCACTTTGTGACCTTGGACAGCCTTGTGTAATCTCTCTGCATGGTATTTTTACTGGTGTTACAAAACTAACCTTCTCATTTCTGGTTGCCAGAAAGCTTAATATCTGTGAAGACTTAGGGTGATTCATTGATAAAAAGTTGTGGGAGTGCAAGTAAAATTTTAAGTTCAGGATTGTAGGGTTTGTCTATTTTTTTGGGGTTGGTTTGTTTTGTTTTTGTTTTGTTTTGTTTTTTTTGTTCCTTAAATGTCTCACTTACTGGTTGACTAAGAAGAGATTGTTGTTCCTCTCCAAAAAAAAACCCCAACCAAACCCAAAACCCTCTTCTACTGGATATTTCACTGAAGAAAGTGATGAAAAGAAAGTAGTTGCTGGCAAGAAATCCTCTATTCTTTTCATTCTAGTGTGCACCTTAGTGCACAGCTGTTGGAGTCTTAAGTCCAATTTCCCATGGCAAAAATCTTTCTGAATTATTTCTGAGGAGGACTTGTAATGTCCGTTTAAGTGTCCACTGGAAAATTTGATTAATTTTATTTATCTCCTGCTTTGCTCATAAGACGTTTGATTTATTTCAAAAGCTTCTGTAGCTGGTTGATTGTAAATTATTGGAAGAATTCTAAAACTGATGAACGGCTGCCCTCCTGTGAGAAGACTGTCACATTACAGCTTGCAGTCTTTGTGACTTAGTGCACAAGCTATCTCAAGTGTGTAGTGTCTCAGACCTCTGAAATAGCTTATTTCCTCTTCAGTAGTTCTTTTTTAGTGCTATTTTGTGAACTCACTCCTGCAAAGTGCTTTTTTTTTCTGTTTACTTGGTATTCTTCCTACTTCAAAGACAAGGAAGCAGGGACAAGTTTTTATAATTTGTCAATGATATTTACAATGAAGGTTTTTTTTCTGTCTGTCCTTCTGAAATGTTGCTTAGAACGGATATTCAGAGGTGACCTGAAAATCATACAATCACTGAAAAAATGTGAAAAAAGTTTTGAACGTAACAAGTTTGTAGACATCTGCAGCTCCTTCCTAGGGCAAGTCAGGGATGTTAAAGAAATCCTGATCAGGATGGAACTAAAGCATCTTTTAGAGTGTAGTTAATAAGATATGTGCACCTATATACTTACACTGAGGTGCTTTCTTCAATCTGGGCTGAATACTTCTTCATTATTTTAATTTATGCAATTGTCTCAATCCTTACTGCCATTTCTCCTTGTGTATGTTAACTCTTTTAGTGCTAGCTTCAAAATGTTAATGCTAGGATATTTGGGGCCTGGAGGCACCCCAGAAAAGGGGTGAGGAGGTCTGGAAGCTTCCTTTCACTGGAGTCGTACACCCACCATGGCCCAAGTAGCACAGCATCCTAGCTAGCAGTCTTGATATTCCCATCAGCTCTTCTTTACAGCTCTGAAGGGCTTCTGTTTCACAATGTGTCTCTTCTTTCCAGCTCCTTTGCCACTCTGAGTTTGGACAAGTAATTTCTGTCGTACTTTGTGCTGGTTTTGTTGGGATGTGTAACTGTGCTCCAAGATTATATTCAAGTTATGTTAAAACTCCCATCAGTGTATTAACTATTTTTCATGGATTTAAGTTTGCTATTATAGGTCTAAATAGCTAACTGTTTTGATTTTGTTGTTTCTTAGTGTGATGCTGCAATACTAATATTAAATGCCTCAGTTCACTTAGCTTTTAAACTCATTAACATATTTTTGTTCATCATGTGCTTACAAAAAAAACCTCATTAACATATTTTTGTTCATCATGTGCTTACAAAAAAGCTTAAAATGTTGGTTACATGAATGTGCTAAGCTCCTCGAATTATTGCTTGTTTCAGGCTCTTTAACTGCAAGGAATTTTCTTAAATAATAAATTAATAGCGTTTTATTTTTTGCAACACTTAATATACACACATACTTTGAAACCAAGATGATTAAGTGATCAAATGAAATGGATACAACTGGGGATATTTGATTTATTGTTCTCAGTTCACTGGTGCTATGAGAGCACATAGATTAGTTCAAGGACATTTTGCTTCATTTAAGTACTCATGAATGTGTGGTCTTTCAACTATTTATCTCTTACAGTTTGATTGATCCTATTTAAAAACCAGAGATATTTAACATTAGAAAATTGTCCCAATTGTCCTATTAAAAATACAATTGTTTATTTTGTTTCAGTTTAATGAGTGCAGTTAAAAATAATGTTGGCAGAGGAATAAATGTGGCCTTAGTCAATGGTAAGTGACATTTTGAGTAGATTGTCTTCATTTTTGAATTGCTTCTAAAATTTAAGGTGAAATACTAAGGGATGAGGAAAGTCAAGCAGGAGAAAAAAAGGAAGTATTCAGCTTATTTATACTGAGATAATGTCCGATCTTGGCACTTAGACCTTTTTGTTAGAACAGAAAAACATTGTGCATTTTTGTTTTTAAAAATGTGTAGTAAAAATAGTAATGTGGAGTGCTGTGGTGACTATCTTGGTGATGCATCACGTAATTCCTAATGCACATGTAAAATGGAAAAAGACATGAGATGCATGCTGCTACTTTTGACTTTGTGTGTTGCCACCACTAAGAAAACTTTGTAGACTAAATTCTTCAGTTTCTCTCTTTTTAGTGTAACATTTCACGGTTATGTTACTTACTACATGGAGAGACCAGCTCATTACTTCCTAGCTTGAAAACAGTATATTTGATTAGTCCATATCTATAGATCTTGTCCCTAAATATATCGCATTATGTAATTGTCTTCAGGATTCTTAACTTTCATTAAAACCAAATAAATTTACATCACCTTGAAAGCTGGACTGAACATCAGTACTGGCAGATTTGTCCTTAATGTGTAGGAAGCAATTCCTTGTAGCACTGAGATAGCACGTTTTCATTTCACTGCAATGTAAATTCATGTTATTTTTGGATTGTACTCAGGTTTGCGTCATCTAAAGCATGACTTGACCAATACCCGCCTAATCCTATTTTGGCCTTCTAAGTTGTCTCAATTTGTTCAAAAACCAAAATACCTACCTGTGTATTATATAGCTGCCTGTCTTTCTCTGTGTCTTGTAAACTTTAAATGAATGCATGTATTAAAAAGAAAAACTTTACCTTCCATCAAATACTGCCTTTATAGACAGCGTGGTAAAACAAAAAAAAAGCACTAATGAGATTACTATATTGTCCACTTTCTTCTATTTGTTCTAGATGTTTAAATCAACTAAGAATTAAGTCTCTAGCAAAACATGCAGTATAATTTTAATATTTCTTAATTTCCATGTTGCACTAAGGGCAACCTATAGCTGTACTATCTATTTTTGCAAAAACAACTTTAAAAAAAAGGCAAATACATGAAGTGAATTCTCTTTATTGGTTTTAGAGGCTGTGGACTTTTCATTTTCTTTTATATTCCACTTGAAGCAGAAGTTTGGGTCTTCTCTCTTTCTTTTTCCTCTTACCTTTGCCTGCACCTTATCACAAACTACTATGCTGTTCAAGGAGCAATCTTTGTAAGAGTTACCATAGCAAGTGATTTATATGGTGTCTTCTGCAGGACTTTCTCTGAAAGAGACATTAAGAAGAGGTAGGCATGTTTGTCTGCAAGATAATATTGGCTACATTTGATGACACCAAATATTTTTTTTTCTCCAGGTAAAACAGGAGAACCATTAGATACTAAATTCTTTGACATGTGGGGAGGAGGTAGGTGCGGTTACCTTATCTGGGTAGAGAGAAACAACTTAAATGCCCTTTTTTTTTTTCCCCTCCCCCCCCACCTGTTTTCAGGCTGCATTTTCTGTGGTGGTTTAAGGTGATAGAGAGAGGTAAAGCATTCCCTTAACTATCTTTGTAATTGTAAGGAGAACGCAACTTCAAAGAAACACAAATAGCAGAGGTGGGAGTGAATGGTATGGCTAATCAAACACACTTGTTCTCTGGAGTAGTTCCTACTAGTGGTTATATCTTTACACAATATAGATTAAACTCTTCCTATAAAATGAAAGCATTCTCTCCAGTGCATTTTGTCTTTCTCCTACTTAGCATCTTTTTATAAATTTATAAGTACATTTACATTATGAATATTTTTAAAAGGCATGTCTTTGCAGGAAGGCATTGCAGGTGTTTAAATATGGAATGACTGCATGTTGTTAAGCAGTTGTGTGTTCTCTCTCTTTTCAGATGTGGCACCATTTATTGAATTTCTGAAGTCCATTCAGGATGGAACGATAGTGTTAATGGGAACATATGATGATGGTGCAACCAAGTATGTAATTGATTTATATAATAAATATTGCTTAAACTTTTAAGTGCTGTTTTACACTGGAAAAAAAATGCATTCTTTATCACGCAATCACTTTTGATCAAGTTTTGTTCTTCCAAGATGATGAGTTGAAACTATGCTTTCAGTTTATTCGTCTAATGCTGATGTGGTTTGAGGACAAGGATCAAATTAAAACTAACCAGGTGTAATGGGTTATGTATGTGTTTACATGGAGGGCTGTTAGGTGTCCACCTAATTAGATATTAGACCCTTTAGCAGAAATATCACAAGTGTGTGAAAATCTGGAAAGGCTAGAGATTAATAGTTGACTAGTTAGCAATTGCTATGTCAGTACACATAGTTGGGTTTTTTTGCTCCTCTGCAGAAAGATGCAACAAGAAGACAGTGTAGGGCATATGGTCAGTCCAACAAACTGGTTACTCATAGCTACAAAGAATATAATTCCACTTTACTTTTTTTAAACCATACCCTTATCCTCCCTGGTTCCTGAAGACCCTGTAGGTTTCTAGCTGTTCTCCTAGAATTTGTACCCACCTCTATTTTTTTTTAATGTATGTTGCCAGGGATATCTGTCTTTCTGGAGAGGGCTTGGTTTTCCTATTGCTGATAGCTCATTCTGTCTCATGCTGGTAAATTCAGATATGTATAGGAACACGACTGTGAGAACATACTCTGGTGAAACTCGGTCTGTTCCATCCAGCACTTTTCTCAGATCAACTCCAAGACAGTGTGGTGGTTAGAGGGATGCAGAGAGTATTCCCAATAGGCCTTACCTGTATTCTTCCTTTTGAAGTCTGAGAGGTTACACTTGTGCACCTCATACTTTTTGGCCTTGACGTTTAGACTGTTCCACCCTAAAGCTGTTCAATTTATTAATGTAGACATAGTCTAAGAGGTTTTAGTTCTGTTTAAGCATTGTCTTCCAACCTTCCCAACTTTGGTCAACTTTAATAGATACTAAAAATTACTGTAGAATTCATATTGTAATCTACTCCTCACTTAAATCATCCTCTCCAAATGATTGCATTTCATACTGAAAATTAAGAGGGTTTTTTTCCATTTCCTCTGTTGTTTTCATATTTTCTAACTTTTTGCTAATGTGTTCTGGGCATTTTTTTTTCTCTTTTGGTTCAATTTGTTATCCACAACTTGTCTGCATTTTTGATGTAGGAGCAGCTTTCCTACCACAAAGTCCTGACTTTGTAGTGTGCAATATTTGCAGTAAATAGTTAACTGTATGTTCACTGCTTTTAGGAGAAGGAAGCAGTTTAATGATAAAGAAACGTCCAAGGCTGGATCTTTTGTCTGTTGTTCTATTGACTTGTTTTGTTACTTTTCCTTTTGTTCTTTTTCCTTTCTTCTTTGATGTTTTAGATAATAAGTACAGTTAGTTTGTTTCAATAATCATGTAACAGCTGATGTTTTTGAAACCTTGTATGTAGACACAATGTCAGCTAAACAAGAAGGTGAATTTGGCCCATTCGTGCTGACAGCCAGGAAGTACTGCTTATTAGTGATATTACATAATTAGCCAAAACCTTACCACTGGTGGTTGATGGTAATCATAAATGCCGGTTCTTGAAAACAATGAAAACTGTGAACAACCAACATGCTTAAAAGATAAAATGCTTTTATTTTGAATTTTTTTTAAATTAGCTGTCCTAATGCTCTAGAAACTTGGAGTGTGGGCTGTGCAGATAACCTCCAAGATACTTAATAATTTTCATAATTTTAACTAAAGTGAGTCACACAACTGTACCCGGGGAAGTAGTAATAATCAGAAGCTGTGTGTGTAGTTTAGTAATTGGGCAAATATAGTAACTGAAAGGAAGAAATAAAGAGGTTTTGGAATGATAACGTATCATCCTACAGACTCATTTTCCCTTCTGTACTAAAATAATCCTGCCTAGACCTACAGGCACTGAGCCATGCTGTGGGGCAGCTTTCTGAATTTTAAATTAATTGACCCAAGCAGACAAGAACTTCTTTTATATATTTAGGTAATTCTTCTAATCTAAAATAGCTTTTGCTTTATCTAGACTTCAGCTTGAACCTGCAAACAATGTTTACTTTAAAGGTTGACTTTTTTAGTTGCTTGGAGAATTGCTAACATGACTTGAGATATATGTATAAATTCTCACAGGAGAGGGTTCTTGGCTTTTGTTGGTGTACTGATAGGTTTGTATGCTGGTTTCTTGAGATTATGATATTAAACAGCAGCGCTTATTAGATCAGGTGATTTCAGAACTAGCCTTATCTGATTTTGAAAGATCTTGCCCAATATTGACTGACTTAAACTATATTTAATCAGATTAAAGCTGAATGGTCCATTGAACAATGAAAGCTCTAACGGCATGTATTTTATTCACATGCTGAACTTCTCTGTTTTGTTCAAGACTTAATGAGGAAGCACGGAAACTGATTGCTGAATTAGGAAGCACATCTATTACTAACCTTGGCTTTAGAGACAACTGGGTCTTCTGCGGTGGAAAAGGAATTAAGACTAAAAGTCCATTTGAACAGGTCTGTGATTCTATAACTTACTGGAATTTCACAGCTTACATTAATAAAGGTGTAGCATATTTTATAAATGCCATGCGTTTGTTCAGGATGGGTATCTGTTGCAGTTGTAGCACACTGTGTTATTTTCAAATTTGTTCCTTGACTAGCCTCTTCCTTTTTAAGTGTACAAGAAGGATTCTTTGGTGATTCACAAATAAGAAAAATTGTATATGGGGTAGATCTTATTCTCCCAACAGTGAGATAATTTGTCTTTTAATGAATCCAGTTAAGCTGAAGAATTAAAAACTTCCGGCCTAACGCATGTATTTTAGATGCACTAGCAATGGTAGACCTCCAAGAGATAAATAGTATTATGGTGTTGCTGTTCCCAGCTGGCCACTTTGCTCTTCTGTCAGAAAGTATTGCTGCCATAGCAAAATTTGTAAAATAGAGTATGTTGCCATGCTTTAGCTGTTACAATTCAAGATGTTTCATTGTTGTCTTTAACTGCCGCTGAAGGTAGCTTTGTACTAGGAGAGTAAGGAAGGCACATTCTCTTTTGTCGGCTTTGCAAGGGAATGGAAACTACTGCAGGAGCAGTGGCAAACTCTTGCAGGCAGTAATGTCTTACCTGACTGCAGATGGTTGCTTGGTGGAAAAATAAACCCCTAATTTTCAAAAAAGGCAAACATTCAACATTAAATAATGTTCTTTAAAATCTATTTGTTTTCAGTGCATTGCAAATTTAGTATCCTTATTTATTTTCTCTTAGTGGTTCATGTTTTAGAGCAATTGGCTTTTTCCTTGCTTGTCTCTCTTCCTAAATAAACATAATAAATTTTAAAAATGTTTCCCCGGTATGGCTTAACTGTTTATAGCATACACTTGTCTGAGCAAGTTACATGAAGTGGTGAATACTGAGGGATTTTTATGTTTGGTACACAGCACAACAGGCTAAAAGTGATGTCTTCTCTTTGTCCATGGCCTGAAAATAAGTAAATAAAACATCTTTTAAAGCTGTGAGTTAAAGCAAAAGGATAAATGACTTTACATTAATGGTAGATTGATGTTTTCTATTTATAGCATATAAAGAACAACAAGGACACAAACAAGTATGAAGGCTGGCCAGAAGTTGTTGAGATGGAAGGCTGTATCCCTCAGAAGCAAGACTGAATGAAAAACAAAAGGAAAGGAGAAAGAATGTGGAAGAAAATGCACTTTCTGCTATTATTAGGGAGAGGGCTATGAAGGAGACTGTACTGTAAATAAAATTTTTAAAGCATGCAACCATCTTGTCGGTGTGTGCATGAGCACTGACATTTTGAATTATTTATTGCTAACACACATAGAAATCATTTTTTTGTAAATATGTCCAAAATAAA